TTTTTTTTTAATTGAATTTGTTAATCTAAGGACAAAAATAAATAAATTAATTGATAACATTTGTACTATTGTCCAATAGGCACGTTCTAAACGTTACAAAATCACCCACAAATTCAATATACTCTACTCTACTGTTATATTGATCAACATTAGTCTATTGTTAATGATGAAGTAAATTGCATTTCTGTGACGCTGTTGCCGATGCTGTAATTTCATTATGCATTTGTAGCACACACACACACACACACACTCACACACGTACACCTGTAGCATGTGTGCATGCAATATGTTTTATGCATTTTAACTAACTTGCCGCTCTCTTTCTCTATTTGTCTCTCCCCTTCTCTGTCTCTTCTTCGCAGCACTAAGCAAACCAACAACACCGAGCTTCCGCGGCAACAGTTACCTGATCTTGCCACCCCCTCGCATACCAATGAAAGACAAACGCCGCGGCCCTTCGCTCTATGCACGTCCACCGCGCGAAGCCGTACAAATATCGCTGAACTTCTCGACCATCGAACCGGATGGCCTATTGCTCTGGAGCGAACACAATCAGCTGAAATTCTTGGGTCTCGGCTTGAAGAACGGCCACCTGAAGCTGGCGAGCAATTTGCTGGGCAGCATCAATGATACCGTGCAGGCGGCAGCAAGCGGTTTCATTGCCGATGGCGCCTGGCATGCTACGAGCGTGCTTCTGGATCGCACACGGCTCGAGCTGCAGCTGGATGGGTCCGTTATATTCACAGAGCGATTGCCCGAGCTCAATCGTAGGCTGACATCAACATCAACAACGACATCGTTGCAGCGACGAGGCGCCAAGGATCCAACGATTAGCTATGAGGATATTTTCTACTTGGGTAAGTGCTGGTCACACTTTGCATGCTAATTGGAAAAGGCTCTCTTGAGCTTGTGACGTCACGGAACTAACGTATTTCACCGATTGCATGTTTCTCAGCAATTAAAATGAAATAGTTGCGCAGACTTACCTATGTTTTGTAATTCATAAATACTGCTGATTGTTTATTGTCCGTCTTTGAAATCATCAAATGCATTCGCGACGTGCGCCTCTCAGCCAGAAGTGTTAACTCGCATGGAACTGTAGCGCCGGCGCAAATGTGCAATACACTAGTAGAAAGACGCGTCACGAATCAACGGTGCACAAGAGCGAGCGGGACAGCTGCGAACTTTCAACACGGCACGAAGGCAGAGAACGTCTGCACTGTGCCTGTCCAAAGCTAATTTAATACTTGTTGCGTTTTCTGTTTGATTCTGATATCCACGTTGCAAGCTCTGTACACTTACAGAGTTTACATGCCTAGCGTTCACACCAAACTTTAGATCACTTCACCCAGCAACAAACAAAATTATGTGATACATTCACAAAAACACACAATACACAACCGCGTCTAGAGGGCTTTCAACAATTACTAAGCCTCAGTTAATAGAGATGAGCAACGGCTCAAAACATTGAGTGATCGTATATCGATTAAAAAATATCGCTATTATGCACAGAAGATCTATTAACACGAGCTTACAAAATCAGAGAAATCGCTGTTATATTTAAATACAAGCACTGACCAGAGAACAGTGGTCAGTGATACAAGCAAATCGGTCGACATAACAAATATATGTGATTTAATAAAAGTCATATAATCAAATGGAACATTCAATTTACTGTGTAGCTACATATAAACACTTTTTATTATTTTTTATTATTAGTTTTCGTTAGCTATACAGCTGTTTATTTTTTAAATCTGCAGCATAGCACTGTTACTTAACAGAGAACTGTTAGCACACAGCTGATAATAGCACTTGCAAAGAGTTGGCAGCGCACGATTTTTCTCACATGCAATCTTTAACGGATATTTGAATTTTGGGCTATTTAACAGGTGGATTTCCCAATCAGGAATCGGTTAGCAAACGGACGCAAGGACGCTTTTACGAACCATTCAAAGGCTGCCTTCAGGATATACAATTCGGTGCAGAGCCAACAGCCATTATAAGCGATTTCTCAGCATATCAAGGCGAAAATATTGGCTCATGTGATTTGCACGGTGATGAGCCGATTGTAGTATAAATCGACAGATAAATCAAAAAATTTAAATGAATTAAAAAAGAAATTAATATTGATAAGAGAAAAAATCGTATAACCTAACATTCGTATATTATTGTGAATTACAATTAAAAATTTGTGGACGAAATTTCAAATAAAAAATAAAATAAACAATTTAGATTTAAGCCTAAGTGTTAAGGGAGTTTATATTTGCGAAAGCCTCCTTTGAAAACAAACAAAAATTTTAAAATATATACAGTCGAGGCAAACGAAAAGAAACATAATTTTGTAAATTTTATAGAATTAACTGATTTAAAAAAAAAAAAAGAGAGAAAAAAAATGAACAAAAAGTTTAGGCAAGTAAAAAGAAAGAAAATGAAAAGAATGTGGTTTATCAATAAATCAAGAAAAAAAAACTAAAAAAAATACTTGAATAAAAATTGTAGTTTAGGTTCTAAATCTAGCAAAAATACCAGATACTTCTCTTACGTACATAAGTGATATTTAATGTGGAATAATGGTAAAAGAAAATGATAAATGAAAGTAAAGACATGCTACTTAACTAAAAGACATTTCTTACTAAAATATACTATATATGTGTAATATTGTTTTGTTGAGCCAACGTTTTTGTTATGCAAATGTGTGTTATATATTTATATCTCTATATACCTTATTGTGTTCTCTAATCAAAACTTCTTTATACTGCCCTCTAAATGAAAAAATTAACAATTTTCTGCCATTATAATTTTGTATTCAATATTTTTGAAATTTAGTTAGATTTAATATTTTGTTTGACAAAAACAAAAAACAAAAACAAAAAAAATCAACATACTCAAATTGAAGCCATTTAGTTGCCTTGTAGTAAGTTAGTTATATAGCTCGCGCTCTTATTTATGGTTTTCGTCAAGAATCTATTCAGCAACTTTGACTCTACATATAAGTTATGGAAGCTAAATTATACAATACAAATAATTATTCTAATAAAACTGAGATCAAGTAGTAAGCAAACCAGCAAAAAAAAAAAAAAGAATAAAAATGAAACAAACAAAAAAAGACATTTACATATATATATATATATATATACTTTATTATACAACCAAAAGGAAAGGAAAAAAAAAAACAACAACAATGTAACCCAAATTACAATAAGTATGTCATAATTATTTCGAGTTATAATTTGAACAAATAAAAAACAAAAATAGAATGAGTTAATATTTTGCGTGCTTATTTTCTTTTGCTTTACTCGGACTGTACGCTGATGCAGCCAACTTGCCAGCATTGTCAGATGACAAAATTATTCAATTTTCATTAGAAGGCATCTTCTGAAATGACGTCATTTAAAAAAGATCCAGCGATTCGACTCTCCACTCGGCATTTCTATAGCTTTTTTCGTGATTACGGATTCTACTTCGACGTGCGCATGAATTTCATTAGCTGTAAATATAGCTCCTCTACAGAGTTTGTAATACATATATACTAAATCATTGAAACTAAAGGGAGAGTTTTTCACAAACCTTTTTGAAATACTTTAAATATATCTTTAAATACCTTTTCTACCCCGAAGTATCGCATATCATTCGCTTCACAACCTGATTACAAAAATGATCCTTTTCACTTTAAACTCAGCTCCAACTGAGGGCACCGCACTTGATCGCGACACTACCGAGAATATTTTCACCTGTTTTAGCCGATATCTCCATGAATATATAGCCATTATCTCGAGCATATTTGCTCATTTCGGCAGAATCAACGCACATATTATCCCACAAATCTATTTTATTATCAGCTATGGCTATGACCAGAGTCGGGCCAACTGAAGCAGGTGTTACATATAGGATATAGGTACATATGGTTTTCTATTTATAGCATTTTTCGCACAAACCTTTTCGCGTAATTCCTAAATCCACATTTTGCTGCAAATATAGCTATACTGATCCTGAACATTATAGACAATTGGCGCGACCTGAGCATCACTGTAATACATATGAGCCAGGCTGTGCCAGCTGATCAAATCAATGTACATTGATATTTACTACCGTTCCTCGCCCGCCACTTCCCAGGCATCAAAGTTAAGGTCTTTATCCAAATATAAACTGGAAAACGATGCAACAAGTGTTCGTTCCGGAGCCTTTACAGTTTTCCCGTTGATAAAATAGGAAACCAGAGAGGATTTACCCACCTCTGCAGTGCCCAATATTACCAATTTGTAGCGTTTGATCAACCAGGCTACTGCCTCTTTATGTTTAGCTTCAGGCACGCTCTGACGCGACTGACGGAAATACTCCATTTCATATATGTAGTAAAGCTCGGTTCTATTTGATTTAAAATTAGCCCATATGATTAATTATTAGTTCTGAATCAGTTCAGCTCTTTCTCAATATTATTGTAAGAATATAGAATTAATCGTATATATATATAAGTAAATATTATAGCTTCTGTTCCAGCTGGCGATTTGAACTAGTTCATTTTTCACTTTAATAGGTGCTAATTTATTGCATTACTTCAGATATTTTTTTTTTTTTTTTTT